CAGTATGCGCTGCGAACTCGTCTCAGCCGCGTCTGCGTCTGTTCCTTTGCCGCGCGATGGGCCTCTTGGGGGACACTCAATTGCTTCGCCTTCGTCACCCAAAGCTGCGAGCGACCAGCCATTAATCGACGTCGCGCGCGAAAGGTCCTACCTTTTTTCATAGCGTGGCACTCCAATTTCAACTTGTCATGTCCATTCAATCCGCCTCTTCCAGGCTGTGAAAAAATCTTGGTACCAGGTATAAACCCTTTTTGAGTCAGTCTAGCCCAGTCAATCATTTTCTCATACCGTCCATCAGAACTCCCCCTCTTTCTATTAGGCTAGTATTTGGGAATCCCAAAACAGCAGTGATGTTTTTACAAGACTTGATTGCCGCGTTGAAATCAGACGCTCGAATTAGGCCTGTGATTGGTGGATTGCTGACCAGCCAATCACATGCTGCTCTCACTCGACCTGATCAATTCTGAGGGTGCAGAAGGAAATTAGCAAAGCGTATAAGACTTTTTGGCTTATGCCATCTCTACCAGACCTCTCAAGGCGCGGTCAACTTGTACAACTAATGGGGTGGTAATGGGGGGGGCACTAGAGGCCAACGGTAGGACCACTTCTATTCTTCACGTTTTCTTATTACTAGTTACTTCTGACTTGTTTTTGTTTGTTTGTTTTACCAGTTAAATTGATTGTATTACTAGTTAGATTTTCACTGGCTGAATCCAGTGAGTTTTTGTTTTCAGTTCGCTCACGTCTTGTATTTGGAAGCACCACACAACGTTGGCTATTCCTATTCCACGGAGCCGAATGACAACGCTTACACTGATGATCAGGTGATTTCGCAATTGGATTGGGGACATTCCTAACTACCGTAATCGCGTTCGTGTCGGGACTATACGGCTTGAATTTCTAATAACCTACCTTGTTTTGAACACGAAATCTTTTCAACATCAGTATAAACAGCCCAATTTCTGGATTTTAAATGATTCCTTGTGGTTTCTGGGCTCGAAATTTGCAATAGGCTTGATAT